ATTCTGAAATGGGGATGATCGATTCAGATATATTCTGAGTTACTCGGCTCTTCTTGGGTCTGGGTTTCCGTCTCAGTGTGATTGGAGCCGTGGCAGCAAGGCGGGGCCAAAACTCCTGTGACATCATCAGTATGCGACACAACAATGGAGGCGCCCCCTGCTGGTCTGAGAGCAGCCTGTTACCCGCTGGTGCTCGCAGGAGGGAGGAAATCGCATGCTTTCTGCTGCTGTTTTTTTTCAAAATGGCGTTTCCTGTCGTGACTTGTTCTGTGGCGTTCCTCCCCGGCCAATCAGAGGCCTTCTGTCGGTAGCTGTCGATATTTTCGGGTCGACAGGGCCTTATCTTGTGCTTATTAATCGTGTATATCATGCATATAATAGATCTCACCAGTTTCCTTGCACTTGATTAAAGAAAAAAGTCATTAACTGAATTTAATCTATCTTTTCCCAACTTGAAAAACAATAATTATGTTTTTTTAGAGGTGAGAACAGGTGGAACAGCCAGAGGTGGCGCTTGTTTTTAATGCTGTTCATCTCTCTGCTGGTTCTGGTTTAAACACAGTGCTGCTGGGCAGAAAAAGGAGAAACTGTTTTATTCATAGTTTATAGACTTGTGTAGTTCAAATAAACTACTAAAAGTGACCAGCAGGTGGCGGTAGAGGGTGTTAGCTTTAATTGAGAGGAAGTAGTAGCCCCACCTGGAAAGAAAACAACGGCTGTGGTGGACATCCACACACGGAAACGAAGAGAAACATGTGGGAAATTGTCATATCTGAAAAGATGACGGTCACCTGAGTTTAGTAGATGCTGACTCAGCTTCTTCTGCTAGATTTGTGTTTTACATGCTAGTCAGATGCTTTGCCCTGAGGCATCTCTCAGCTGCTGCCTTATACTTCCTTCCTCTGTTTATCCCCGTTTGCTGTCTGCTCAGGATCAAAACGCATCATCAACACTGTCCGAACATGGAGAGCACAGCCGTTCCTCGACCAGGTTGTTCCTAGACCTTTAATAGGTCAAAACAGGTCCAAATAGGAGCAAAATCGGGGTACAATTATGCCCCCTGGTGTATTTGTGGACTTATGAAGGCTTTGGGGCTCACAAATGTACCCTGTGCTGCACATTTGAAAGGTGATGCTTCTAAGTAGGAAATGGACAAACTACAGGGCTACAAGCCCTAAAAGTACATTTTGGTGCTTTGTTTTCTGCTCCGTGTGTGTTACAGCTGAAGCCTTTTACCTCATAACTGTTCAGGCTTCATGCCGTTGTTCTGTTCTGGTGTTTCTCAGCAGCTCCAGTCTCTAAGTTAGCGGCTTTTTAAAAAGATTTCTTTGGCCTCACCGGGTTCGGGAGGTTAGCTTGTGCAACAATACAGGAAATGTCTTCCCTTATACTAAAACACAACCAGATAGACTCCCAGGGGAGCTGCTATTCTTCTTTGCGGGTTGAACAGAACAAAAACTAGAAACCGTTTGGCCCTGGAAGAGACGCTCCACTCAAAACAAGCAGACCTGGTGCCAATCCTCCAGCGGGAGGCATCCAGACTGTGGTCTGAGGTCAGTTAGCGGGAGGAATAGATGTGAGTGCACTCCAAGCTGTCGGCAGATTCTAACAGAACCCAAATCTGAGAGCAAAACTCTGCTCATCAGTTAAGGACAAAGTTTACGGTTATCAGCTTTCCTTTGACTGTCAGCACGCAGCCTGTTTCCAAATGACTCAGTTGGCTTTGAAGACGAATACAAATCAAATGGCTGCAACCAGAGATGATTATTTAGCCCCAACGAATGACCACAGAATAAATGTATAAATGTATAAAGATTGTTCTTTATAAATCGTAGTGGGGCCATACTTACTGCACTTTGAATTTTAGCTGTAAAATGGCCTCAGAAGGAAGCCTAATTTTAAAGGGAAGTGTAATCTTATTAGTGTGAAATAAGGAGAAGAAGCCAATCTGAGCTCTGCACAGAACAAAAGCTGCTGAATTAACGTGGTGACAAGCAATGGGCTGCACTGCTCCGACGAAGCTCCTGTTTTATCACAGCAAACACCGAGTGTGGGGGGGTCCCACACATGTAGATGGGTCATGGTATGTCTGCTATTTCCTTTAATAGACTAATTCCAGTCTGGTGTCAGAAGATCTGAACAATCTCTCAAAGCTAACTTTCTTCTAAATCTCATTAGAGGAGCATTTCACCAGCGGATGTGGACACAGACACAACAAATGTCCAGTTTTCTTTAGCTTTTTGCACCTCAATGTTCCTCATTTAGGCACAGACGTCTTTAAAGGGCTTATTTCCTGCAGAATAGCCTCGGACTGGTCGGATCCCTGGTCCAGATCCAGAGACTATAGAGGAAGATGGACAGCTGCGGTGGTTTTTTAAAGTGGTCGTTTGTTGGTTTTCAGTGTCTTGTATTTGTAATTTTTTGGATTTTAAGGAAGAGTTGAAGGTGACGGCTGATTGTTGAGACTATCGCTGCTGCGTGCGTTTTTTTCTGTTGAGATCCTGATGAAGTCATAAATAATGTGGTGAAAACTGAATAAACGTAGTGCTGACTTGGTCAGCTGTAAAACTGTAGAGGCTCAAGTTGTTTTTACGGGATTAGTCCTGAGTAGCTGTTAGCTTAGCTTTTCTTGGGGAATCCTCTCTTCTGTTTAAGTTTCTTACACAGAAAGCTGTAAAACCGAGTGAAGAAGAATGTTTTATTGTGCGTCAGTGGCTCTTAAGCTCTTCCATGTGACGACCTCCTGAGAACCGGAGTGATGCGTTCACACTCTGCCGCTCTAAAGACCCTCGGGGGAGACTCACAACGACACGACTGGGTCTGACGCCGTCACGCGAGAACTGAGTTGTGTGATTTCTACATTATTTAATCTCGTTCATCTTCACCATCTGGACACAAGAGGATCTCATATCTCACAGACCACCATCTTGCAAACAGCGGGATCTGTTACCAAAGCAATCAGCCTGTCTTTGCGTATTGTTCTCCGTCTAAGATAAAGTATTTTCAGTGAATGCATATCATTTTTGGACGCATATTCGTTTTACACCCGGGGAGGACCCACTCATAGGCAGGAAGCGTGCGAAACCCACGGCCGGGTGTCAGGACGGGCTGAAGGCAGGACATGGGCAGTTTTAATGTCTTTATTTCAAACTCAAGAATCTACACTCACTCAGAGTGGAAGCAAAGGGCTGAGAAAACTCGTCTTTGGAATTTACAAAACACAAAATCTCTCCTGTAGGTAAAACAAAGACACACTTGGCCATGAAAAAGAAATGAAAAAATCATATCACTCCAAAATTGAAGAAAATCAAATCTATTCTTTACCTGATTTACGATCTAATCTGAAACTAAGCACAAAATAAAGATTCTATCAAACTAAATGCACTCCACAAGGGAGGAGAAAACAGTACAAAACCTGAATATAACAGAGAATCACTCCAGAGGACAAACAATATCTTCTGAATTTGTACTATCATGAAAACTATACTTAAAACCTTTACCGAAACAAAATCTCTCTTATGAGATGCTCTGTTGGTGACGAGGATCATAGGCTCAGGATCAAAGGACAAAACGACCAAACACTCTGACACAAACGAGGGAAACGAGGGATTTTCCTCCAAATGTCACGCCTGGGGGAATGTCTCGTCTTGATTACCTATTGTGTACACCTGGGGTTTCCCTCCCTCATGTGTTTAAATAGTCCTCGTTTCCCCTTGTCTGGTGCGGGGTCGTTCTTGTCTTCTTGTTTCTTGTCCCGTGTCCTTTCGTCCGTCGTCACCCCCACGCCAGGTTTGTCTTCGTCCTAGTTCTGCCACAGCCACAGTCATTGTCTCAGTTTTGTCACAGTTTTGGTTAATCTTTATTTTGTTACTTTGTCATAGTTTTTCCACAGTCTTGTTTGCTTGCTTTGATACTTTGCCCACAGTTTGCCACAGCTTTGTTTTGTACTTTGTCTGGACATTCACTCTGTTTTTTGTACAATAAACCTTGTTTTCCCTCATCTCCGCACCTGAGTCCTCCCTTCAAGACCCCCCCACATGACACCAAAGGGCTGATTGTCAGACCATTGTGTCCACTTTGTGAGTGGCTCTGGATAAAAGTGTCTAAATGCAGAAACAGAATCATAAAACCCTCCAGCCCCTCTGAGGTGGCTGTAGCCAGAGATTTGAGCTCAGCCTCCAGCCCTCTGATGGCTGGTAACTGGTAGGTAGAGGTGGGCCTCCACCTACCAGCTACCAGCCATCAGAGGGCTTGTAGTTGGAGGTGGAGGTGTGATTGCTGACAGATGTGCAGACGCTGGGTGGGTGGCGGGGGCTTGGGGGGGGTCCAGCCCCTGCCGGCCGCATATGGGGGCGATTAGCCGCCGCTTGCCGTTAACTGGTGTGAAATCTGCGATCGGCCTTTTTTTAATGAATTTTTTTCCTCCTTGTCCTGTTCAGCATTCTGGCAGCAGAACTGAAATCTGAGCACCGAGCTCTGCTGAACACGTTTGCTCTGCCGGGGGAGGCTCTACGGGTCTATATTTGTTACCAAACTTTACGTGTTTTAACACCAAACCAAGGAGGAAAGACACCAGAAATGCTGCTAATCTGATGAAGATTTACGGCCGTTTGAAACTATCTGGAGCCTATCGATCTGCAGAGAGAAGGACGCTAGCTGGTCAAAGACCCGACAGTAGCTCAGAGGTCAAAGGTCAGGGCAGACCGGGCAGCAGGTTGGTTGGTTTGGGCTGCAGGAGGAAAAAACAAACACCAGATACCTGGAATCACACCTGAGCTCCAACAAACACGGAGCCTCTCTCAGAAAAGGCGTTTGGGCCCCCAGCAGCCGCTGGGCGACAGGAAAAGGGGCTAATGCTTCTGGCAGGAGGCCTGAAAACACTCCACTCTGGGTGGGTTAGGGTGTGATGAGAGATAGGAGGCAGCCAGAGGAGCTCACCACCACTGCCCCCCCCCCCCCTCTGGTTCTGGCACCTGGAAGGAAACCTGCTTGCTGGTGCCATGAGCTCTAATCACATCCAGAGAAGCTTCTCTGCCCGGGAGGCCTCACAGGCAGAGAGCTCTGAGCCTGGAGAGCCTCTTTCTGACCCAGTCCGTCTGCAGCAACTCTGTTTGCAGCCGGAGAGGTTTATTTAAGGATGTCTCAGGTTTTCTGGAGGGAGAAAAGAACTGTATTTAAAGTTTTTTGAAGTTCGATGTGCAGTTTGATCAGCGGGAGAAATGAATTGTGTGATTGTAGAAAACTGAGCTGTATATTAATATTCTTGATCTGCGTCTGACATGAATGAGTTATTTAAGAAAGAAACTTTTTAAAATGGTATATCTATTTAATCTGTGGTGGTTTTCGGTTCTTATCCCACATGTTTGTATTTATTTCCATCTGAGATCATTTGTGATGATCTCAGATGGAAATAAATATGATCATTTCTATGTTTTGATGCATTCTTTGCAGGGGTTATTTTTAGTTTAAGGGGGTCCGATCATCTTGATAAGACTCAATCCGCCTTAAAAAGATAATCAGCTTCTTTTTGGCAGGCTTGTTGTCTCAGATTATCTTGAACAGCCAATCGGGGCGTCTGCTGTCGGGGGGCCGACACCCTCAGAGTGCGAACAGGAAGAGGCCGCTGGGGTTAGAGCGGCTGCTTCAAAGTTATCTGACGCGGCCGCCGCTCTTGATTGGTCCAAATGCCATCTGGACGCCATCTGGTTCTGTTTTTGTGGACAAAGGGGATCCAGTCCTGGGGGGGATCCGTTCCTGGTCCTGAGGGGATCCAGTCCTGCGGGGGATCCGGTCCTGAGGGGATCCAGTCCTGAGCGGATCCGGTCCTGGGGGGATCTGGTCCTGCAGGTCCAGGATCAGAGGGTTTCTGAGGCCTGCGTGAGGGATCTCGTCCTGGGGGTCCTGGATCCGGTTCCGGGATCCGGTCCTGGGGGTCCAGGTTCCCTAAAATGGGTTTCAAATGGACTTTTCTTTGCCCAGAATCATCATCTGCTTATATTTATGGATATATGACTACATTTCTACTCTTCATGGCTAAAGTCGGCACATTTACGCTCCAACGGCTTTAAAGGAAACAAAAAGCCTAACCGGGTTCTGGCCTCACGGGTCCTGGTCCGGGATGATTTCCCAGCAGATTGACAGCAGTGACCTAATTTAAAGTCTGAAATGTGTTTCTTTAAGGCTATCGGTGTCTTTAAATGTGAAAATTATCCAAATGTTTGTGGTTTCGGGGGTCAAAGCTGCTCGTGTTGAACAAGCCGTCGCCTCTTTTATCACAGCAAATGCAAATTTGACCCACCTAGATGTTATTTAAACCAGCTCAGAGGACCATTCCACGCTGCCCTATAACATAAAGATAGCTGGAAGATAAATCTCGTCCAAACTAAAGCTTCAGTGCTGACTCTCCTTTTCTTTCCATATAAAGACACGATTTATGCTTTATTTGGAGTGCTCGTACATCACATTTATGTAGTTATGTACTAGATGAAGGACTCAGACCTGGCTGATTTGAACATTTGAAAAAAAAAAAAAAGTGTGGTTTATGGCCACTGTTTCTGAAGCCTCTCCAGAGTTTTCTTGCAACAGCCAGAGCTAACAGGGCGGCAAATGTGCGCTGCACTTTGCACCTTTCACACAGCTGCCTGAAGCCGTCCGGGCCAGAAGGACCGGCTGCTTCCTGAACCCGCCTGACTGCTCTGTGAGGAGGGACTGCTGCCTCCCAGTCCAGCCCAAAGCCTTTTTAGGGCTTCTGTATGCGTCCAAATGGGTTTACAGGCCTGAATCAGGGTTTAAACAGATGTGCCCACAGTTCACAGCAGGTTCTGGATCAGGCCTCAGAAAGGCTAATATAGAGACACAGACTTTGAATTATGTCCGAGAAATGAATGGATGTTTTATCATAAACTGACACGAATGAGTTATTCAGGAAGGAAAATGCTACTTTTTAAATGGGACATCTATTTAATCTTTGGTGGTTTTTGGTTCTTATCCCACAAGTTTGTATTTTTTTCCCTCTGAGATCATCTGAGATGATTTTAGATGGAAATCTAATCTCATATCAGACCACTCAAATACCAGTTTTGAGGGAAAATATGATCATTTTTATGTTTTGATGCATTCTTTGCAGGGGTTATTTTTAGTTTAAGGGGGTCCGATCAGCTTGACAAGACTCAAGCCACCTTAAAAAGATAGTGATTTTATTTTTGGCAGGTGTGTTGGAGTCATTAATGAGAGCTCAGGTCCCGTGTGGGTCCAGGGAGCTCTGTGTGGAGCAGAAATGACCATAACGACTAATTACTGTGTGTGCAGGCCTGTTTGTGATGGCCCCCGTCCTGATGGCCCCCACGCCCGCCAGCATGTGCACGCCTCTGAAGACGCTGAACGACAGCCTCAGCCACCGGCGGCGCTACATGGTGAGAGCCCCAGGTCCTGCTGGGAGGGACCTGCATGGTCCCGGGAGGCCTGGTCCTGGGATCCAGTTCTGGTGCCAGACGAGGTCTATGAAGGAGTGCAGTTTGCAGGGAAATGGAAAAATTTTTAATCTGGCTGAGCAGATTGATGAGAAGAAGGAGAATAACTAGGGATTAGATTAAGAAAACCTTCAGAAAAGCTTCTTGAAACAGTTTTGGAGAACTTTCCCCCTAAAAAAGGTTGTGCTTCCTCCTCAAACTCCTAATATCTGGAAATTCTTAATGAAATCACTGCTATATTTTTAATTTAATTCAGTGTAAATGCTTCTATTTATGGATATATAACTACAATTCTATTCTTCGTGGCTCAAGTCGGCACATTTAATCTATGGCGGCTTTAAAGGAAGCAAAAAGCCTGACCGGGTTCTGGCCTCACAGGCCAAATCCCGTCATATGACAACAAACCCCAGAAGACTGAAACTCAAACGTGTTAGTTTAAAGCAGGCGGATGCAGAGCTGCTCTACAATCCAAAAGAATATGATTAGTTCCTTCTGTCGGCTGTTTCCTGACGTGTCTCCTTTGCTCTAAATGACAGAAACATAACTTCCCCATCAACTACTCCATCAGAGTTTACCATGAGGAGATCTTCAAACTGTCAAATATCAGCAAAATGGTGAGTCTGAAAGTCTTTTGGTGTCAGTAGAAGGCGCGTTTTGGGGTGGAGACGTGAGTGGGGCTCACTGGTTTCTGTTTTATGCCCCTCTTCAGAGGCTAAAGGTGGAGGGGCTGGATGACCTGGTTCTCCAGAGGCTGTGGCTCCAGGTTAACCAGGGCGTCTTAAAAAAGGTAGGAAGGGATGAGAGAAAATGGAGCACTACCTCTTTCACCTCTTTGGTTTTAAGTATCAGCGATCTTCAGCTTTATTACGCTGTTTTAATGTTTATTTTAGTATTTATTGACATTAAAAATAAGAGACAAAAAGCTCCACAGCTTCCACAGGAAGTCAGAGTTTAAGCAGCTGCTTATTCTGATCTGATTATTGGTCCAGAGTCTCTGTGAAAGCAGAGGTTTGCTCAGTTTGCTGCACTGCAGCATCCGGGTGTGTGTTAGCATAGCTTCTAGGAGGAAAGACACCAGAAACGCTGCTGATCTGGAGGTTTAAAAACGTTTAAAACATTAAAAGTCCATCGATCTGCAGAGAGGAAGTTGATTCAAAGATGATCGGACCCCCCAGCGAGGTCAGACCCAGCAGCTCCATCTCAGACTCTGCAGCCTCGGCTAGCAGCTCAGAGGTCAAAGGTCAGGGCAGTCTGAGCAGGTTGGTCTGAACTTCTGAAGCTGCAGATGGAGGCAGTTTGCTCTTCTGTCCACACAAAACCTCACAGATGTGGCTTCAGTTATGGCCAAATCAACCAAAACCGTCAGATTTCTGGTCATTTTTCCACCAGTTTCACCTCCTGGACTTCGCTTTTCCCTCTGAACTCTGCTGAGTGGAGCTGGATGTGTGTCCTGACTCCAGATTGGTACAAAAACCTGTGATCCAACTGGTCCTGACAGGCTGAGCTGAGCTTTCTCTGACTGACTGTTTCCTCTGTTCTGACTCACACTTGCAATCACACGTCACCTATTACTCAGACAAGTGCGCACCACTTATGAAAAATAACAACCTTTAACCGCATTTAATGCACTCTTAACCTAATACTGGCTGGTATTTAGAGCTAAGTGAGTTTATCAATCAGCAGTCAGCTGCAGCACATCAGTCCAGCTGTTAGCAGCTGTCAAAAGTCGGTAAACACTTTAATCCATTCAGCTCCTTTCTGTCAGAATTCACCTCAATGTGAAGAGTTCAAAAGCTGTGAAATGGGGGAATTTATTGTCCAGACTTGTTTGTCTGTGTGGAAAAAGCCGCCTTACTCCAGGGATTGGGTTGCACAACCCGGCGCGCTGTGGTAACTATGGAAACAGTGCCCACCTCTGGACCGGCGGACATGACCCTACACGCTGCCTGTCTGCTCCGGATTCCTGATTTCCTCATGAGGACTTTGCACTTTTCCCCGTCTGGAGGCAGACGGCCTCTGTGTGTTTTCAGCTAGCGCTAAACATGGCAGCTTCACACACACGAGACCCCGCCCACACGCACGTGGCGCCGAGCGTTAGCAGGAAGTCACCTCTCTAGTTTACATGTAAAGATGTGCAGCCAGTAGTAATTCAACTAGATAAAAAAAGAACAGGCAAAAGAAATATATTTAAAATTCTGTTTAAGAAACAAAGACTTTAGATGCTCTCCATTTTATTGAGTCTGACTTTTGGGGTTAAATAAAACACGACCTGGTTGACCAAAGTGCTGCACATCAGTTAAAACACTGTAAAAAACACATTCAACCCCACAAAAATGCCCAAATCAGAGAGAAATAGCACAGTAGAACTGAATAACTGGTCAATTTAGGCCCCGTCCTGTGTGCAAAGGCAGCTTCTTACAGACTGAGTTCATGGAAAATAACTTTAGAGTTGATCCTGAAACAAAATAAATGAATAAATGGAACTAAATGAAAACTAAATGAAGTTTCCCTTTCAGATCCTCCGGGTTTTGCCAGAGAGGCATCCCTCCCGTTCCTACACAGCCGAGCTGGAGAGACGCTTCCAAGATGTGGAGGGCGTCTTTGTGCTGTCGCATCCTGCAGAGGTTAGTCCGGCCTCACCTTTCCCCCCAAAACTGCATCCGTCTCCCCTCAGATCCAGCTTTTGTGTATCGTCACGCCGATTCTAAACCAGAGCTCTTACCAGTAGGAAGTCCAGCCTACGAGGGAATGGGAGCTGGGTCTTTGTTGTGGAAGTTATATTCTAAAACCAAAGTCTGAGTCCATCTGAGGAAGTAAGAAATAGAAATTTATTGAAACTTCATTAAGTGAGAGCAATCAGTAGGATCTCACAGGGGTTCATACGACTTACCGAGCTGCTCTAAACTAAAACTAAATCCCTCTTATAACCCTCTGAATCTGAAATGAGGGTAAAGTCTGTCTTCCATCCTGCCCCTGTATTAAACAGTCCTCAAGACAAAACATTAAGAGACTAAAAACAAGGAGACCTTCTCTGAGACCCATGAGAAAGAAAAAGTAAAAAATATTCACTAGTGGAAAGTTACCAGAGAAAAGTGAAGAAATTGATGTACATACATTGATTTCCCCCAGTCTTCTGCTCCTTTTTGCTCTGGTTGTGACTCATCTGTTGTAAAAACCAGTGTATCCAGTTTTTGCCGGTTTCCAGATGCCAGGCTGGAACGATGAGCTGATCGATGGGCTTTTCCATCTACTCCTGTCAGCCCCGTTGATGCGACAGCAGCCGGAGAGTCTGAGCTCCGTATCTGGGTTTACATCTTTGAAGCGTGCATCCTTTGGCGCCGAATGCAGGACGCTGTGCGGCGGAGCACACGCACGCCGTGGCCCCCGCCGGCGCTTTCCATCAGATAGCATCAAAGACCCTAAAGGTCGCCGATGCTTTTGGAGTTTCCGATCATTTTCAGCCCTAAATTGGATAATTGGGATGAGTTTGCGAGGACTACTGTAAAACGGCGCTCAGGAATCTATTGTCCTCACAGATCTGCTCGGCTCAGTCATGTGAAATAGGAAGTTATGTGATTTTGGAGATTATCAGAAGGTCATCTGGTCTGCGCCCGGCCTCAAAGGGCCCAGCCCGACCAACGGACTAATATGGTCGTGTTTCCTGGTTCTGGTCGGTTTACACCTCAGTGTGTTGGGCCCAAAGGTCCGAGTCCCGAAACCTGCTGCTCATCCCAAAAAAGCTGAAATCACATGTTTCTGTTTCTGTTTTTCATTCATTTTCCCAATTTTTCTTCTAGTTTTATTGGTATTATATCGCCTGAATAGATAAAAATATGATATACTTGTAATTTGACAGACACAGTGAGGGTTTTATCATCTAAAACTTTAAAAGATGGCCTATTATGTTCCTTGTAAGTTGCTTTAGATCAGGGGTGGGCTACTGGTCCACAGGCCCAACTTTCCTTCAGCTTTTAGGGGTTTCCCTGCTTCAACACACCACACACACCAGTGCCAAAGCTCTGAACCTGAATCAGCTTTGTAGAAGCAGCAAAATGTCTAAAACCTGCAGCTTTCCTGCTGAAACAAGGTCATTTTCTGCCATTATTCCTGCTAAATGCGCCCCTGCTGCTGCTGGTAGAGTCTCTGAAAAGCTAAAGATTCAGCCGTGAGCTTTTTTTCTGTTTTGAGTAATCCTCCTGAGAGCAAACAGACTGACAGACCCCCAAACACCAGGCCTGCTGCCTGGCTGGAAACCAGGGAATGAGAGGCTCTGCATGATGTCGCACCGCGTTTTCTGCCTTTTCCGTGGAGTTTGTAGAGAAATCAGTGGCACGCTGTCGTCATGTTTTACATCAAGACGACCGTTCAAAGAGAAAAAGCTGTTAACCCATGAAAAGCAGCTCATGTTCAAACCTCTGTGGCTTTAAAAATTCGGCGGAACTGACTGAGACCAGAGCGCTCGCAGCTCTGACGGCTCTCTGAACAGAAATGGCTGAAAATGGGAAACTTTTTCTGCTTTTTCTGGCTGCTCAGAAAAGCTTTTTGTCCATTTTTTTTTTCAAGTTTTTCTGAGCATCCCTGGAATCGCTCAGATCGCAGCTGGTTCATTTCCCATGAGGCGCAGACCTCTGTGGGTGCAGAGCCCCCACAATAACCCCCCCCCCCCCCCCCCCCTCCCCGAGAGCGTGGGTGGTTTGCTGTGTGTCCAGGTGTTCCAGCAGGAGCTTCCAGAGACGCTGCAGGACATCTGGGACCAGCTGACGGAGGAGCCGGAGCTGGTGCCGGAGTCCAGCTGGCGACTGGCCTCTCCGAAGTCTCTGGTGGACAACCTGTGCCACACCATGCTCTGCCTCTTCAGCGAGTGCTTCGCCAGCACGGAAGCTCCGCCGGACCGTGAGTACAGCGGCGGCGAGAGGGCGCTCAGACCCCCGAAACTCGCCCAGATGAAAGCCTTTGGCTGATTTTAGTGGCCAGAGACTGGAGCTGGCGGTGCGCGTGCATCTTGTAGCTAGCGTCAACATCCAGAGCGTCCAAGACCTCTGACGCCGTGATCCGCTCCATATGCTTCCAGAGCTCAGGCCGAAGCTTTCCCCCGAAAAAAAAACAAAACAACTCAAGTTCCAGATTGGTTGTGACACGAGCAGGATTTAGTTGGCAGCGCGGACGTGTGCAGCCCGAGCTCTCGCTTCCCCGGCCCCGCCATGTTGTGAAAGTGTCTTCTCCTCGTGATCAAAGCGCGGCCAAGCCTTTGATGCCTCCGCCAAGCCATCTGGAGCACTTTTGCATCTTCATATTCTTACAGAGTCATATTTATCTGTAGGCTGACGTGCCCCCTGGTGCACAGTGCACGGCCATCTCGACATGGGAATGTTTTGGGAGGGAGGCTAGCAGCTTAGAAAGATACATGGGCTGTGACTGGAGGATCCATACATCACAGGAGGCACAACCAAAAGGGCCGTTCAACCGTTCGACGCACGTTATTCGGCTTTACGAAACAACAACTGGTGCCGAAGAGAGTGTGTGTGTGTGTGTGTGTGTGCACAGCGTCATCCACACGATGCAAAGAAAGCCAAGCGGGCTGTTTTTGTGTCCCCTTTGGGCTCAAATGCGGCCCAAAAATCTGCAAAGGAGGGATTTGATAGTACAGCAGAATCTCTACACACGAATTTAATTCGTTCCAGGACCTACTTCGTATGTTAAAATATTCATAGGTTGGTTCAAATATTCCCATCAGAATACACTGTAATTGGTATAATTCGTCCCACATCCCAAAAACCTACGATAATTCCTAATAAATACTGCAGATAACAACACATAGCAATAAAACAAATGCATTATATATGAGAGATGCAAAAAGAAATTAATTATAAAGAAATAAATAAATAGAGGTAGAGACTGAGATACAGGACGAACCCTAACTTTAACTTTCACTACGTGAACTATAAACTAACTAAACTTATTTATTTTTATTTAATTTTTATATTTAATTTTTTATTATGACTTTCACATCATATGTTGGAAATTGGAAGTTTACTTTGGGTTTTGAGTCGAATATTTGATCAAATTTCACTTTTGATGTTGGAAAATTCGTATGTTTAGGCGATCGGAAGCAGAGTTCTGCCTTATTTGGATGTGAGTCGAGTCTCTGAGTTCACGTTTGTGGGGAATGCCTGACGATCTGGGAGAAAAATCACATTATGCATCAAACAGAGAGGAAAAGAATAACAAGAGACTGGAGGGGAGGGGGGGGGTAATGCACACATTTAAGGAAGACGAATGGTTTAAGAGAGCATCGCCCATGTTCACCTTCACTTCGTTCTCCGGTTGCAATAAGTTCAAAGTCTGGTGAGCTGTGGTTTCTCCTCAGAGCCTTTTAAATCCAGCTCAGCTAAAATCAGAGTTCTGAATGGATGATTGAGCCGTCGTCCGGCAGCTTCTGGGGGCTGAAGGCCACACGCTCCTTTTTTACCTCTTGAACACGTTAAATCTGCCCAGATTTGAGGCGTGATCTGTGAAACCGGGCTGTGGTCACGTCCCACCGCGCCGTTCTTTAAAGCGGGGAGAGTCTCCTGTCAAATGAGAGCACCGGAGATTTGCCACGCTTCTTAAGTGGATTCAGCCCAAATCAGATTCCGGGTTTCGGACTGAGCCGAGCTGCCTTTTTTCCCCTCCGGCAGCCAGGCCTTACTCTGCCGCCCTGACCTTTGACTTCTAAGTTGCTGGCTGAGGCTTGCAGAGTCTGAGATGTGCCATGTGCCTCTGAGGACCAATGGCCAGAGCACTGACCAGCAGCTCTCTCATTCTGAGGGGCAGGACTTGTCCTGACACTTGTAACCTCAGGATTGGAGGATGTTGTGCTTTCCCACCTGACCTCTTGCATATTTTTTTTAATCAAAACCCTCTGAAGATGCAGCTCAAAATGGCAGCTGTTATGAGACCCCTTAAGTTGCCATGGAGACGAATTCAGTTGTCACAGAGATGAAATCAGTTGTCAACGAGACAAATTCAGTTGTCATGGAGACGAGTTCTGTGTCATGGATTTGAATTCACTTGTCATGAATGTTAATTCAGTTGTCACCAAGACGAATTCACTTGTCATGGAGATGAGAATTCAGTTGTCACGGAGATTAACTCAGTTGTCAAGGAGACGAATTCTGTGTCATGGATTTGAATTCACTTGTCATGGAGGTCAATTCAGTTGCCACGGAGATTAAGGTCCCTGAGCGTGTCCGTAAATTTTCCTCTTCTTTATCTGCCTTCGGCTTCCTGTAGAGCCACTAGCGTTCCCATGAAGCTCCTCTGGCGTGCAGTCCTGTGATCCCAGTTCCAGGGAATTGAAAACACCTGTGCGCAGATGTGGAGCTGAAAGGAAGCATCCATCTGCTGGAGGAAACCCAACCCCGAAAGCAGCTTTTTGTCCACTGTCCCTCTCAGAGCTCACTTTCTTTCCCACGAAAGAAAATCCGATTTGACAGGAATGCGAAGCCTGAATAGGAGAACAGAAATCAGTAAAGACGAGGCGGCCACAGGCGGGATGTCGCCTCACATCTGGCGCACATCAGCCTGCTGAACCGTCACTTTGTGCCTTAGTTAATCATCAACAACGCCATTGTCTTTAAAATACCTGTTTACCTTAAAGGAGGGAGGTCCCGATGTCATCATTTGGGATAAGTCTGATTTTCTCAGGATTTGGTTTTGATTTTCGAATTTCTTTATTAGGATTTGATTTTGATTTTGAGTTTCAGAAGGCGTTTGTTTCCCCAAATTCTGTGGTTTGTTCCAAAGTTTTCATGCTGCAGTTTATCCAGCAGAACAAACAAATCCTGCATTCACTCATTTCCTGCCTGTTATACTTCATTAAAGTTAATGTATTTGTGCTTCGGGTCATTACACAGATTCGGCGGGGCTAGTTTTTGTCCACTTTTTAGGATAAAAAACACTTAAGTTGTTGTTTACTTGCTCATAACTTTGCTGAGTGAACTGATTTGATTTGAGTATGATGAGTGTTAACAGCCTGTCGTTCTTCTCGCTGGATTCCTGCTGCTCTTAAATGCCGACAGCACACGTTACAGCTTACTTTAAATCATATTTAAAGATGGCCTAATGTGTGAAGTAGAACGGATGCATCACAGCTGCAGGAGTTTGAAGTGTGTTCACTCACTCTGCGTTCTGCACAAGTTACACAAATTTACACTACAGACGGACAAAGAAAAGCTGACACCAAAAGCTGAGACCTGCTTTTGGTGTCCATGTATAAAGTATAAAAGGCAGAACCAGCATGGAGAGCATTTCTGATTCAGCCACCAGGAGATGGTCAGCTGGAGGTCCAGATGCAGCTCTCAGCTCCTGTTCAGCTCTCTGCTGGATCTGCTCCTCTTTCTGAAGGACCTCACTTTCAGGTCCTCTTCATCTGCTGGATTAGAGAGTTTTTCAGGCCCAGCTCTTCTTCTTCTGTCCTCCACTGGTCCAGTTTCCTCAGATGTTTTAAGGCCTCACTGCTCACCAGCTGAGATCTGCCCAGTTTTGAAACAATTGATATGTCTCTGTGACAGGCTGTTGCTATCAAAGAGCCTAAAGATCCACTTTAAACTGCCAGTGTCTAAAGACCAAAGAACAACAAAAGACCAAAGAGATTAAATAAAAGTTAGGAACCAAGGGGCACAACTCTGTAATTCTGCTAGTTTAGATATCCATAATCGTATTTAAGAGTTTTCATTTCTCGAAAATGAAAATGCTCATAACTCACTAGACGCTCATAAAAAGCTTTCTCAAATATATTTTCTTTATCTAACTGATGTTGGACAAGCAGAAACTGGTCAACATGATACATTTCTTAGAAATAAAGTTGCCACTATTTAACCGTCTCCACTCTGTCGTTTGTTTTTCAGACTGTGCCGTTTCCCATTCAAAGAGAGGGAGGAAGACTTCCAACCAGACGGCCGAGGCCGAGCCAGCAGAGTGAAGGGTCCCTGTGGACACCGATCGGCGATTAAAATGATTATCTCCCCTGAGCTGCAGGAAAAAGGGGTTAAAGAACAGTTCACAGTGAAAGAACATCAACAAGTCTTTCCCAGATGTACCAAACGGAGCCAAGATGGTCGTATTGACTCAAAGGCTGGCCAGGCTCCATGAGCGAAAACCGACAACTTGTAGGCAGAGAAACAGCATCCAGGATTCCTCTCTGAGCAAATGGACTCCTATCTGAGAGGAACTGCAGATGGAGGACGAGTGGACTTCATGTTCTCAGATGTCCGATCCATGCATCTTTTTCCAAGTCAGATTCCTTAAAAAGGCGTCACCGGTCTCCTCCAAAGAAAAGCAACCAACAAAAAAAAACATACAAAAAAACAGCTTTTAATGCTCTTTAATGCTCAGATTTCGTGCAGTTGGACACAGTTTAAAGAAGCTTCGCAGGTCTGCAGCAGACGCAAATCACAATCAGAATTTCTCCATTAAATGTTTTTCCTGTACAGGCCATCACTTATCTGGCTCTAAGAGGTGTCCAGCTCCCAGATCCTTCACTGGGTTTCGTACCGAGTGCCGCCTGAAAAGGGGAAACATTTTGTTGTGAATGCTGGAATGGAAACCTGACCAGTGGGAGCAGCATGCCAGTCTGAGTCTTTGGAGCTGTTTTAGCCCAACAGACTCTAGTTATATTATATTACATTATATTATATAAAGGCACCGCCAAGTGACAGAAGCCTCCTGCTCCCGTTCAGACACCTGTGTTACAGAAATTACTCCAGTAGCCCATCAGAGACACAAATCCGGAGTCTCAGGCCTCGAGGCAGACATGATGGAACACCAGAGACCAAAGACATGGCGTCTAAAGCACTCCAGGCCTCTCTGTTCCTCCCTGGTCTTCTCTGGGTCTCTCTAGTCCTCTCTGGGTCTTTTTGGGCCCCTCTGATCTGCTGTCCTGCAGGTTTTAGACACGTCCCCATTTCAACAAACCTGATTCGCATCCAAGTGCCTTTTAAAAAAGCTCAAAAATGTCCAGAGTAGATCAGGTTTGATCAGAATCAGGGGTGCAGAGACAGGAAAATGTCTACAACCTGCAGGCAGCGGACCAGAGAGGCCCACAGAGACCAGGACTCTGACCCCCCTGGTCTAAAGGACGGTGATAAATGTTACCCCCAGAGGCTACAGGCTGCATGGCGTGCAGCCACAGGGCGTTTTATGGACCAATCAGGGCATGGGGCAGTCCACAGGTGCACGTTCAGGTTTTGACAGCCTCCACCAGCAGAAGGCGGCTATCGAACAGAGGTGGACAGATGTTTGTCAGTTAAGCCTGTTCACATCTGCTCGGTGATCCTTTCCTGCTCAGATGTTCATGGAAATCGTCTTTTCTTTGAGAGTGTTCGCGTCCATTTGCTCCTTTTCTCATCCTCTTAAAGGGCCCGGCCATTCCACTCCTCATGTTGGTTTTCCCTTTGTCCTTCTTTAGTTTGCTTACCTTTGGTGTCTTCTGTTGTAAGCCATTTGTCTTTTCTTTGTCTTTTGTCTCTTATTCTTCTTCCCTTTTCATGAGTTACTGAACACGCCGAGCCGGCCTTGTTGCTTTGAGACTATGGAACATTTAATCAGGGTTAAAAGACAAAAGAAAAGAGGATTTGCCGTAAACTCTGCTTTCAGAATTGGGCTTACTGGTGGAAACATGGGCGTGAGGAGCTGTAACGGGGTCTCAAACAGCTGACATGTGTTTGGGGATCCTGAAGCCTGGTGCTGTTGGCTTTAGATGATATCGCGTTACATCCCCCCTGAAAAAGAGGAATCTTCTCTAGCTTTCCTAAAATCCTGTTCTTTTAACGCGGTGCACATGTTCGACCCCAAACAGCTTTCTTTCATTTGCCCCCCCTGACTTCGGGACCTGTGTGTGATCTCACCCACTTAAAGCTGTCGTTTTTATGTTGTTGTTGTGTGTTTCACGTCCAGAGCCAAAGCAGGGATGTACATCGGGGCTCAGTCGGTACGACCCAGAACACCTGCCAGCACCCGCCGTCGAGTAAAGGCTGATTTAGTAGCCTGAGAGGTTCTGACTGGGCGCATAATCATTTCCATTCCAGCAATTAATCTTTCCTGGCATTTATTAAGTTCTAGCTTATTTAAAGCACAACAAAAAACCAGCCACATGTGTGATTGCTTTGGATGGCATTCATTCATCTTCCTCACATGTTGCTTTGCTAAAACACTGAATGTCGTGAGGCTTAAATGGATGCAGACGGCATTAATCAAAGGGCATAAAACTAGATTAGGTTTATCAGCACAGTGTCGAGCCGCTAGTGCCTTCAGAACAGCCTCGGTGAACCTCAGTTAGCATTAAGACTTCTGTGGCTCCACAAGGAGCATTAATAATCCTTCAGTGTCCACTGATTGTCTGTTTAGCCTGCGGTTTTACCCTAAAAGCCTCTCCTGGTTCATCATTGGTCCTAAATGTGGCCGTTAATAGTTGCTTGTGATACTCATGTGGTACTTAAATGGATTTCATTTGAATAGTCTACTTTATTATTCAGATTTTCATCGAAGACCCTTTAGATGAGCAGATAATGTCAGAGGATGAGGAAAATGATGCTACACATCTGTGAGCGGGAGAGGCTGCAATGCTAATGGTTGTTATTCAGTAGAACAAGTAGAGGGATGAACAACAACCGCTGTGGTGGACATCCACAGGAGGAGCTATTTTTAGAAATTAGATATCAGTCATTTATGTGGGATTAATGCTAACAATCTTCTTTGCAAGATCACAAATTATCCCTGAAGCCAAAAATACATTTTTTTGTGCAATAGCAGTTTTTTTATTCACTATTTCCATTCTGTTTGTATCACTCTCATCTTCATAAATAGTGATGAAAAAATTGAAAGCTTTTTCTTATGATATGATCCTTTTTTTAACCTCTCCGTCCTGGTACAAACACAGAAAAGCAGCTCAAATTCATAGTCAGACTTTCTTAAATCCCTGTTTGGAAGCACGTGAAACTCCTTTGAATGGTTTATCTCTACATACTTATCAACTGCTTTTAGCTGGAAACAGGGACCTCTCCCTGAGGCCACCTGACTGAACACGCTTCGCTCTAACATCTCAGATTAACTGCCAATCTTATGGGTTCAAATACTTACGCCACTCCAAAAACATGTAAAATATGGCTTGTTTCGCTGTAAATAAACTGCCAAGCAATTAGCCCAATCGGATTCTTCTTGGCTGTGCTGTAGGGTTAGTTTGAAATCCCTGTTTAGGCCACTTTTGTGCTGAAATTGAACAAATTGTAAGTAGTTCATAAAGTCAGAAAATACAGGGCCTTTCTAAATCAAATGCAGTGTGCGTTTCAGCTGTAATTAGGCTCCAGAAGTCTTTCATATGACTAAGCTTTGTCTTTTACTCCTAAAGGCCACACTGATACACACAATGTCAGATAGCCAGCAGCTGATGGTTTTTTTGCTCATCGCTTCATCAACTCAGAGTTTTTAAGCATGTTTTTTGTGCATTTTAGTCACAGCAATGTGAGTTTAAACTTGATACACATCATCGATAACGTTGTGGTGTTTAGCCTTTGTTACTGTAAGAATAACCCTGAAAACGCCTGTTATAAAAACTGAACATTTGGTCGTGTTTGCAGGAGCTTTAGAGACATCGTTTCCATAAACTGATTCAGATTTGTGCTTTATGGTCAAATGCAAAAAAAGTTTTAAATGGAAATGTAATTTTTAAAAATTATGCATGACATTCAGAAGTATTTATTTGAGCATTTTAAAAAACAGTTAAGAGTTTTAAACAGAACTGAATGAAATATCTATATGTGAGTGTTTGTCTTGACTTGCAGCAGTCCAGACATCCCATAATGTGGACAGGAAGCCTCCTAAATCTATTATCTAACCCACTGGGTGATGATCTGTTGGATTTTATGCATGCAGCAAATAGAAAACCTGGTTTCCGAACACAAAAGGAGGTCCAAGTGTGCTATATTTGTGTAAATACCTAAAGTGTATTGTTGCCTCATCACATGTAAGCGCGCGGCTGTTGCTTTGTAACCACTAGAGCAGCTTCAGTGCTGTCAGCGTCCGTCTGTCATAACAATGAGAAATATCCCCCACAGCAGAACGACAACAGACAGAAACTGAAAAGACACAAAGTTTGGTTGAGCGCGTTCTGCTCGAAGATTTTACAAACAGATTTTTGTTTTTATACACAAGATATTGAATATTTATTTTTTGGAAATGTATAATGCTATGTGACAGTACTTTTATGAAAGAAATACAAGAATAAATCATTATTTTTTAATCAACTTAGCTGTGCCCAAAGTGTCATCATTTGTTACGAGAAACTTTCCCGAAGGACTGAATGTCCAGCAGGTGTGTGTGAACACAACGCCGAGGAGGAAAGACATCAGCAACGCTGCTGCCCGTCAGTCTGAAGGTTTAAAACCTTCTGGAGTTCTGGAAAACATTCAGGACAGCTGTCAGTCTGACCGGGGCTGGACGTCCCAGCAGCCTCTGGGCTCCACCGGATGGATCCTGAGATCCATCAGAGTCCAGAGCTCACGACCACAAACTAAATTAACTTATTTCAGCAAACAATTAAACTTATATGCTTTTTAAATACATGAATAACGCAGGGAAAGTTTAAGTTAGTGTTAGTTCCGTATAGTTTTTTAAATTGTCCAATAAGTTCATGGTGGAAAAAAGAGAATTGTCTCAACTATTTTTGCGTTTTCGAATTGGTTAGGTTTGTCCCTCCCTGTACGCCGTATTCAAGTAAACAACGGAAGTTTGAGAAATTAGGAATTCCACCATTTATACTTTTATTTAATTATTAATAAATGTAAATTGACACTACCAAAATCTAGGAAAGTGTGTGTGGTGCCTGTCTCTGTTTCTTCGGTCTTAGTTCGTCCAGGAATTAAAAAGTGTTTTGAAAGCGCTTCCCGGAAGTGGTCCCGCACGCGCAGACAGCTGATCCGCTCGCGCTGACAGCTGCGCTATTTGCGGCCGAGCGGCGACCAGACGTCCTCCGGACTGCGCGAAATGGCTTCAGGCGACGGTATCCGGATCCCGAGCCGCCTGCCGCTGCTGCTGACCCACGAAGGGGTGCTGCTCCCGGGCTCCACGGTCCGCCTGAGCGTGGACTCCCCGCGGAACATGCAGCTGGTGGGCCAGCGGCTCCTGAAGAGGAGCTCGCTGAAGAGCACCATCATCGGAGTGATTCCCAACACCAGAGACCCCGAACACGACTCCGACGACCTCCCCACGTTGCACAAGTAACACACCTTTAGCGTTTTAGCCGCAAAAAAACGGACAAATGGGGTTATTTACTCCCGTTTAGACCCTGCTGGGTGTTTTTTTCGAGGTGTTATGCATACAAAAATACCTTCCCTCCTCACGTGTGGCACGTTCAATTATCAAGGGATGTGAAACCGACCAGCATTTGTAAAACAAACCCAAAAAACAATCACTTAATTTCCAATTTTGTGCTGGAAACGAGGGCAAATTCAAATAAGTTATGAAATGCTTATGTAACGACTTGTATAACTTTGAATTTGTGTGTATTAGTAAGTTTAGCTTCACAAGTACATAAACAGACTTTCTTGCCTTTTAACATGATAGAGTGGTGATATTGTACAGGTTTGTTTGCTTGTTGGTTTCTGGTTGTCTTGTTCCAGAACAATCTGGACTTAATTCTGTAACTTTGCAGCCGGACACACAGTGGTGGACTTTAAGCCCTTATCAGCGGCCGGTGGGTTACTCAGTAGCAGCAGAGCAGCCGGAGGCTCACAATGAGGGCAACGCCAACAGTTTTACACAAGATACATGAGTCAAAGACAACAACAGGCTTCTGCCAACACGTGGGAGGAAGGCCACAAAAACAAGCTGTCAGAGGGCGAAATAACAAGCAGAGAGGAATGTTTACATCATCTTTGAACATGTGGTTACATGTGGTTAATGTCAGAAGTTATTGGGTATTCAATCTGAACATAAAAAAAACAACAATTTAATACTTTTGCTCTTTTCATCAAAGATTGAACATTTAATTTTCTTTTTATTCACTTAATCGAGTGGATATTTGCTTTTTGTTTGCCTCATTTGCTTTTAATCCTGATTTTGCTATCATTTGTGTTGAGAGTTCTTCATGTTCTGACGTTTTAGCATCGATGCTTTTATTTTGAAGTAGGCATTTCATTAAAAAAACAAGCTTTTTTTTTGTTCAATTGTGGATTATAGCAACAAAATCCTGCACGTTTAGATTCTTTAGCTGTTTAAAATGAGCTGATTTCAGGTGGACAGGCTTTGCTGTTGAGTGATCCTCCTCCCCGACTCAGATTCAAAACATCGTTTATAAAACATAGTTTATTTTACATCACATTTCGTGTACAAGACAATTCAAAGTGCTTCACAAACAAATTAAAAAGCGGAAAAACAAGAAACGAAAAAGAATCGAATGGAGAAATTAGACAGAAAAAAAGTGAAGGGTGCAGATAAAATAGATTCAGTTTCCATCTGCACTGTTTAACAGAAGCGTTTTCAGCCTGGATTTAAACATGGTCAGAGTTTTAAACATGGTCAGAAGGAATGATCCAGATTTTAGGAGATTGGAACTGAAATTAAGCTTCACCGTGTCTACTTCTGCCTCTGGGCAGAACTAGACACGGTGGCCTTGAGGTGGCATTAAGGTGGTCTTACGGTGGCCTCTGGCCTGGTGTGTGTGTGTGTGTGTGTGTGCAGGATCGGGACGGCCGGCATGGCGGTTCAGGTGGTGGGCAGCAACTGGCCGAAGCCCCACTACACGCTGCTCATCACGGGGCTGTGCCGCTTCCGGGTGGAGCACCTGCTGAGGGAGCGGCCCTTCGTCCTGGCCGAGGTAACAGACCCCCCCCCAGAGGTTCTAACCGAACCCTCCAGTTTCACATTCACTGAACCTTCTTTAGTGATAATAAAATATGATTTTTTTCCCAAAGACGTAGGTTCTTGTTTTGAACATCAGCTGCTCAGAGAACAAACCAACACAGAGCAGGAACTCACAACAAATGACCCTATTCCTTTATGCTGGCCCCCCAAAAATATTTCGGCCCATTAAAAGAATTTCAGCCCCAAAAAGTCTTTTTTTAATATTTAAAAATAAATTTTGATTTTTTAAAGCATTTAACATTTTTTAATAACTTGGATTTTTAAATTTTTTTAAATGTAATCAGTTTTTTATAGCATGCAGACACAACGGTGACTCCCGTTCCTGATACACTGAATCCATGTTGTACATATTCTTTCGAACACTTTATCTTTTGCTCGACATATTTAGCATTTAATTCAAATATTAAGAAAGAAACCACACAACCTATAAACTACGACAGCCGACTCATCGTTTACATTTACATTTATATACCTTTTATATACCTACAGATGTGCAGAGGTGAAGTTTAAAGCTTTGGAGTTACATTCGTTTGTTGGAAATGTTAATTTACTGTGTTTGAAAGACAAGAGTACAGAATAATAACTATTCTTTATGCTATGTATCTCCTCCAGAAACAATTTTGTATCTGAATACATTGCCAGCAGAGGTCAAATCCTCAACAATATGTGCAGCTGTCGCCTTCCGCTGGACAGAAAATGGTCTTTATGCTGTAATGTTGTCTCTGAAAAACAAATAAAAGCAAGTTAAGAGAAGACTAAGTTCCAGCAGAGCTGCTTCAGCTTGCGGGGTCTCGTCCCTTTAGATGCTCCTGAGCTGTGGTCCCTCTGGTCTCAGAGTCAGTAAAGGTGTGTGTGCAGGTGGAGCAGCTGGATAAGCTGGAGCAGTACACGGCGCCGGAGGCGGGGGGCGCCCTGGAGGCGGGCGGGGAGCTGCAGGAGCTGTCCAGCAACTTCTACCAGGCCGCCCTGCAGGTGAAAGAGAGCCGCCTCCCCTCACGCTCTGTCCCTGGAGCCGAGCAGTTCCAGAGAAACGTGTTTTTCTGTAAGCCGCTGAGTCAGTTTCTGTCAGCCCCTAACTCAAGGGCTGAGCCAGCGCTGCGTCCAATCAGCAGAGCAGCAGCTTAAAGTGGATCTTTAGGCTCTTTGTCAGCAGCAGCCCGTCACAGAGACACATAATTTGTTCCATTTCTGTAGCTGATGGGGAAAAAGGCCAAAGAAAAGCCAGTCTGACAAACAGGAAACAGGATTTCTGAGGATTCCTAAAGAGCTGCTGGCTGAAAACTGGGCAGATCTCAGCCTGGTGAGCAGTGAGGCCTTAAAACATCTGAGGAAACTGGACCAGTGGAGGACAGAAGAAGAAGAGCTGGGCCTGAAAAACTCTCTAATCCAGCAGATGAAGAGGATAAAACACAGCTGGATTAAAGACTTTTCAACAGAAAATAAGTGAGCCAAAACTCTTCTAGTGTTCTTCAAAAACACTAAAAACGTTAAAAAAAGTCTGGTTCTTTGGAGGAAAACATAGATAATCAATGTTTTCAAAACTTCAAACTGAGACTGTTTAATATTTTGTTTGATTTGATTACATCATCACACACATAAAAAAATATTAATTGAATGGTCACATCAACATATTACTGTCAAATTAATTAAAACAGCTGAATAGTTTTAATAGAGTTTTTTGGCCCAACTCTTCTTCTTCTGTCCTCCACTGGTCCAGTTTCCTCAGATGTTTATTATATCATTACTTTAATAAATGCAAGAAAGGGACTTAAAAAGAAGACAGAGGAGCATCAGGGAGGGGGGGCAGACATGGGAAAAGCAAATTTGATGTTCTCATGTTCTCACGAAATGAGAAGCGACTCCGTTTGTCAGCTCTGGGGGAACTTTTCCCTCCAGTTTCTGGGGCCTGCTCCAGGCCCGGAGCATCAATGGCTGGCAGGCGGCGGCGGCGCCCTGCTGGGAGGGGGCGGAGCCCCACATGTGCAGCTGCGCGGGGAACCAGCGGGGGTCCCGCCCCCCCCCCTCACAGTTTGGCCAGCAACACACCAACAGACAAACAGCCGGCGTCGGCAGATGTGAGAGCGGGGGGGGGGTCCCCGGGGTCGGGGGGGCCGGGGGGGGGGGCTCGTTCCATTTGGTGAGAACGGCCCTCAGAGATCCTCCAGGGAGGGAAAAACTCTGAGAACGTAGCAGCAGAACTATGAAGGCTTTGGAAGTGGGAAACAGAAAGACCTGAGGAGGGTTTACCCTGTAAGGGCTGCTGCCGCCCCACAGGTCTGGGATGTTTCCCGGCCTCAGACGAGTCCATTTAAAGATGGCTGACCTCAGCTCAGCTGGCTGGAGGATGTGTTTCACTCAGTCCTTCAGCAGATTCAAGGTATCGAATCGTTCAGCCTCTTCAGAACAGAGCAGCTTCGGCTTTTGGGTGTTAAAATCTTTCCAACTGTTTGAATGATTTTCACTTTTTCCTCGCATTGAAATGAATGGCGGAGCCTTCAGATCCGCCCTTACAGCTGTTTGGCCGGACGGGCTCCGGGTTGTGAGTCTCTGCGTGCTCTGTGCGGGTTTGTGGGAGCAGAAAGTGGAGCGGAGGAATGTGGGAGCTGCTCTCTGGTGGAGGCGGACGGCTTTACGAAAGGATGGAGGGGGGCTGGAGAACATGTTGGGCTGTTTCAGCAAATTAAATCCACCTGTCTGTGTGTGTGTGTGTGTCTTTGTGTGTGTGCGTGCAGCTGTTGGGCATGCTGGACATGTCCGTCCCGGCGGTGGCCAAGTTCCGGCGGCTGCTGGACAGCCTGCCCCGAGAGACGCTGCCCGACGTGGTGGCCTCCATGATCCGCACCTCCAACCAGGAGAAGCTGCAGGTGAGGAGGCTGCAAACAGCCAGACGCACAGTTTACAGGGACACTGTGTAGTATTTAAGTATTTTAAGTGGTCCTCATTTGGTGTCAAATGAGCAATGATGTGACTTCTCCTCATAAGTGAAGAATATCCTATCTGTACATGCAAAGGACGGGTAAGTCCAGTTTATCCAAAAAATGAACAAATATATATATATATATATTCTTTTTAGGAATTTCTTCTCAGTCTGAGTTGTACTGTTTTACTGAAGAGCCCACCTGGAGGGGCCCTGACCCCTTGGAGGCCCTGATCCCCCCTAAAGGGTCCTGACCCCCCCTCTCTGGTGCAGGTGCTGGACGCGGTGAGCCTGGAGGAGCGTTTCCGGAAGGCGCTGCCTCTGCTGACCCGGCAGATCGAAGGACTCCGGCTGCTGCAGAAGACCAGGAGGGCCAGCCCCGACAACGAGAAGCGGGTGAGAGGCCGCTCAACCCGGGGGCCTCTTGGGTCACATGTTGAGCAGTTTGAACCCCTAGCTCCTCTCTGGTTTCTGGTTTCAGGTTTTATCGGTGCGTAAGGGCGGCGTCTTTCCCGGCCGGCAGTTTGGCCTGGACGAGGAGGACGAGGATGAGGACGGGGACGAGGCGGCGGCCCTGGAGAGGAAGGTCCTCGGCGCCAACATGCCCGAAGCTGCACACAAAGTGTGTCTGAAAGAGCTGAAGAGGTAAAACCCTCTTCCTGAAAAGGGGTGCTGAAATGTTTAAACCTAAAGAAAACCCGCTCAGTTTATTCTAAATGGACCCATAAAGTTGGAAAATGGGACTTTTTGTCGGCCCTGACCTCCTGGTTCTGGTTCCAGACTGAAGAAGATGCCTCAGTCCATGCCTGAATATGCCCTGACCAGGAACTACCTGGAGCTCATGGTGGAGCTGCCCTGGAGCAGAAGCACCAAAGGTGAGGCAGGCTTTCTCCCCCCCGGCTCCTCCGTGCTCATCTCTGTGTGGGATTCCTGTGAATGAAGGTTTCTTCTGTCCTGCTCAGACTGCCTGGACATCCACGCCGCCCGCACCCTCCTGGACAACGACCACTACGCCATGGACAAGCTGAAGAGGCGCGTGCTGGAGTACCTCGCTGTCCGCCAGCTGAAGACTTCTCTCAAGGTGCCCCAAGGATACTGTATACGATCCATTTAATGGGGAAGAACATCTGTGAGAGGAATTCTGTGGAAAATCACTGAAAAATAAGCTTTATACTTCTTTAGATTAAGCAAAATCCTTAAAAAATAATATTTTTTAGGTCTTTAGATGAAGAAAATCCTTAAGAAATCAGCTTTTTAGGTGTTTAGATGAAGGAGATCCATGATGTGTTCAAAGAGCTCAGAAATCCCAGTGTTTCCACTTGGAGCCGTAATGTGTCGGAGGTCCAGCTGTAACTTGTGGCTCCTTCAGGGCCCCATCCTGTGCTTCGTTGGGCCTCCTGGAGTGGGTAAGACCAGTGTGGGCCGCTCCATCGCCAGGACTCTGGGCCGGGAGTTCCAGCGCATCGCTCTGGGGGGCGTCTGCGACCAGTCCGACATCCGGGGCCACAGGTACGCCTGGAGGGGCGGGTTTGGGGGTGGGTTGGGGGGGGGGGGCGGGTCTGGGCTGCTGTTGCTCAACCAGCAGGCGGATCTGGGTTTCCTCAGCCAGCAGCCGGATGATTGACAGCCCAGATTCTGGCTCTGGCGTCTGCCCGGTCCCCCGGCGGCCTCCGGCTGCAGGGGTGAAGAAATCTCAGCAAACTCCACCTGCCTTCCATTTCAGCGCCTGAAAGCGTTTCTGCACTCGGCAGCGCATCAGTTTCTGTTTTTCTGTTGTATGTTGCTTTACAGTGGGTTTTGTTGTTTTTTGTTCTGTGTTTTTCTTTAGTTTTTCTGTGCTTTTTAGTTTTTTTGTTGTTGTTTTTTCTGTTTTTTTGTGTTTTCTGTTGTTTTTCTGGCATTTGTTGTTTTTGTGTTGTCTTTCTGTGTTTTTTCTCTGTTGTTTTTGTGTTGCTGTGTTGTTTTTGTTTCTCACGGTGAGCCGGGGCTGCTCTTGTCGTCTGCAGGCGGACCTATGTGGGCAGCATGCCCGGCCGCATCATAAACGGCCTGAAGACGGTGGGGGTCAACAATCCCGTCTTCCTCCTGGACGAGGTGGACAAGCTGGGGAAGAGCCTGCAGGGGGACCCGGCCGCGGCGCTGCTGGAGGTCAGCCCCTCTGGTGGCCCCTTTTTGGCCCTCAGCCCCTCTGTGGCCGTAACCCTGTGGGGAACCCCTCCAGTCCAGTGCGCTCAGCCCTCTGCCCCCCACAGGTCCTGGACCCGGAGCAGAACCACAGCTTCACAGATCACTACCTCAACGTGGCCTTTGACCTTTCCCAAGTGCTCTTCATCGCCACGGCCAACACCACGGCCACCATCCCGCCGGCGCTGCTGGACAGGATGGAGGTGCTGCAGGTTCCAGGTGGGCCCAGAAAACATAGTCCCCCAACAAAACGTGCAGGAAGAAAAACAGAAAATGAGAAAGAAAGGGACCCCAAAAAATAGCCTTAAATTAAAGTAAATATTGAGACAAATTGATTAAAAACATACAAAAAAGATGCAAAAGGGCAAGAAATGATCGAAATGTTGACGGAAAAAGAAAGAAATGGTCCCAAAATGACAAAAGAAGACACCAATCTGCAACAATGTGCAGGAAATTACCAAAAACCGTCCAGAAATGGACCAAAAACTCTAAAAAAATAGCCATAAAAGTCAAGTAAACCTTGAGCAAAAGACCAGAAAAAGCGACCAATTGATCCAAAACGGACACAAAACATGAAAAAGGGCAAAAAGTGTTGCCACAAACCAGCAAACCTTTTTCTTTTTTTAGTCTGAAGCTTGTTTGGGTTTCAGGCTACACGCAGGAGGAGAAGGTGGAGATCGCTCAGCGCCACCTGATCCCCACCCAGCTGGAGCAGCACGGCCTGACGCCCCAGCAGCTGCACCTGCCCCCCGACAGCACGCAGCACATCGCCTGCAGGTAGGCTCCAACCTCTGGTTCTGCTCCACCTCTGGTTCTGGTCCAGGGCGGCTCCAGGTCCAGTAGATGGACCGGAGCCGGTCAGCAGCTCTCTGCTTTGCCTCCGTTTGCTGGATTCCCTGATCCGGGAGCAGCAAAGGCAGCAGGTCTTTGTGGTTGGTGTCGGCTCAGTTCTGTCATCCGGCTTCACTTAACAGTTTGTTTCTGGTAGATTTAAAACTCCTACCAGACAAAGACACATAAATATGAGCCACACATGCGAGCGGGCCCTTTTTTAAAGGTTTATTTTGAACAGAAACCAACAATCTGAGGAATGAAAGCTGCTTTATCTCCAGGAGAAATGCATCCAGGCTCAGGGGCATTGATGTGTTTTCTGGTTAATGCGGCTGTCAGACAGGTCACCGGTTAGGCCTCCAGCTCCGAAAACATCTGGATTTAGAACGAATAGCTGCTCGAACCCTCTCTGGGTACAAGTAGTGTGGAACAGAGGAAACAATAATGTAAAAATAAATCTAAACTTTCTTCAGGATGAGATGGAATAATAACTTAAAGTAGGACGTTAGATGAACAGGCAATGGTTAGAAACAGTTTTCTGGTGTTTTAACACAACGCAAAGGAGGAAAGACACCAGAAACGCTGCTGAGGCTTTAAGGCCGCTTGAAGCCGTGTGGAGCTTTTAGTTTTAGCGTTTAGCTTCAGCTTCCTGCTTTCAGCTTTTACCTACCAGCTCTCAGCCTCCAGCTCCGAGCTTTTAACTTTTAGCTCCCAGCTCTGCGTAATGGGCTCTCCTGGAGTTCAGGGTGAACTCTGTCTGACGCTCAGACCTGCATTCTTCCTGCAGGCAGTGATTAAATCACTGCCAGAAAGATATCAGCCTGGATCTGTTGGAGGTTCTTAATGTGGTGCCTTCTCGATGTTTCTGTGACATGAATGCTCCTCTGAGCCCAGAGAGCTCAGCAAGCCTGAGCCCCGGCTGACCCACATGAGGCTTTAGCTCCAGGACTCATCCTCTCTGGACTCAACAAACTGCGCCTGTCTGGTTTAAAGGCTCCAGGAAAACAGTCATTCCACAACCAGTCGGACCTCCAGAGACACAGAGTCCAGCTGAGGCTGCAGCAAAAGACCAGAGAATGACCAGAAATGGACAAAAAACTCCCAAACACCCCATCAAATTTACGTGAATGTTGAGCCAAAGCCCAGAGGGAGGCAGGAGGAGCCCCCCAGAGGGGCCCCCGGTCCGACTCTGTCCCCTGGTTTCTGAGTCCCTCCTGTTTGCGGCCCCCCAGGTACACCCGGGAGGCCGGCGTGCGCTCGCTGGAGAGGAAGATCGGGGCCGTCTGCCGGGCCGTGGCCGTGAGGGTCGCCGAGGGCCACAGGCTCACCAAGGGCCCCCGGAGCCCCTCCCAGCAGGAAGGTGGGTCAGAGGCCAGGGCCCCCCCCAAAGCCTGAAATGTAATAGATCAATAAAAATAAATAAGCTTAGTTAAAGTTCAGGTGGTGAAAGTTAAAGTAAGTTATAGTACGTCCTGTATCTCAGTCTCCACCTGCCAATAAAAACCCTTTTTATTGATTATTTATTATATTTGAACCAACATATGAATATTTTAACATAGGAAGTCGGTCCTGGAACTAGTTAAATTCTTATGTAGAGGTTCTGCTTTAGATGGTTCCATTCCCCGGATGGGTGATGATTCTGGGAATATTCAATGTATTTACTCTTGAGCAAGGCAGCGTGTGGCGTTCAGGGACTTCAGGAAGAGCCTCTGTGGCTGAGGTCGTCCGGACTGGACCTGGACCCGGCTGGAGCTCCTGGTCCGGTCCGGTCTGGACCCGGACCCGGCTGCCGGAGCCCTTCAGCTCAGGCTCTGGGTCACCTGACGTCCAGTAATGAGAAAACGAGCCCAGCAGACGCCGCATTAGCGAAGGAGCAGAGGACATGTGACCCGTCTGCTCCCAGATCACGAATCCTCACCCTGGGGGGGGCGGTCGGTCCAGACCGGAGTTCAGATCTCAGGAGGCTGCTGTTAGACCACGTGGTGCCTTCAGGGCCGTCTCTGTGTCTGAGCTGAGCTCTGAAACAGCCTCTGCCCCGCCCCCAGATGGAGCCACGCCCCCAGACGGAGCCCCGCCCCCGGAGCTGCCCATCGTCATCGACCCCGCCGCCCTGAGGGACATCCTGGGGCCCCCCCTGTTCGAGCTGGAGGTAGGGGCCCGTTAGCGGCCGGGGCCCGGAGGACCCGGCGGGGGCCGGCCGCTAACGGGCGTCCTGTGTGGCGCCGGCAGGTGTCGGAGCGGCTCACGCTGCCGGGCGTGGCGCTGGGCCTGGCCTGGACGCCGCTCGGCGGCGAGATCATGTTCGTGGAGGCCAGTCGGACGGAGGGCGAGGGCCAGCTGACTCTGACCGGCCAGCTGGGGGACGTCATGAAGGAGTCCGCCCACCTGGCCATCAGCTGGCTGAGAGCCAACGCCAAGACCTACCAGCTGACCAACAGTGAGTCCCCCCTGCACGCCGCCGCCGGGGGGGGGGGGGGGGAGACGCTATCGGGGGGGGGCGCCTGACTGACCCGCCCGCCGTGTGTCTGCCCAGTGGCGGGGAGCCCGGACCCTCTGGAGGGGACGGACATCCACCTGCACTTCCCCGCCGGCGCCGTCACCAAGGACGGCCCCTCGGCCGGCGTTACCATAGTGACCTGCCTGGCCTCGCTGTTCAGCGGCCGGCTGGTCAGGTCGGACGTGGCGCTGACGGGGGAGATCACGCTGAGGGGGCTGGTGCTGCCGGTGAGTCTCAGACTGTCCACTTCCTGTCCGGTCGGCCTCCCGGGAAGCTGCTGTGGTGCGTTCAGGTGCCACTGGAAAGCTGGGAGCCCTCTGATAGTAACTGATCCCTACGGTCTTGTTATGATCTCTGACTTTGCTGTTATGTGGAAGCAGAGCAGGCGAGAAAATCGTAATTGCCTCATGGCAATATAGACATTAATTTAAAAATAGTTAAATTACTCTTGCAAACACTGAATTAAACTCTATACATAATATGTTAAAATAAAAATAGTGTATGTTAAATAGGGCATTGTGTAATCTTGGCCTCTGAAGTTTGAATAAGTTCAGTCGTTATGATCTGAGGCGTTAAGAGTTCAGATAGGATGGGGTCAGCCAGCTGTCCCAGCAGCACCTGAACGCAGCACGCAGACCCTCCCTGACCGGCCGGTTTTTGGCGTCCTGCAGGTGGGGGGGATCCGGGACAAGGTGCTGGCGGCCCACCGGGCCGGCGTCAAGCGGGTGGTCATCCCCCGCCGGAACCAGCAGGACCTGGACGAGCTGCCCGCCAACGTCCGGGCCGACCTCGACTTCGTCGCCGCCGGCAACCTGGACGAGGTGCTCAACGCCTCCTTCGACGGAGGGTTTCCCACGGTGACCGGCGTTCAGGCGGTCCACGGGCTGAGCAGCAAGCTGTGACCCATCCGGTTCAGGTCTCAGCCGGGTTCAGGTCTGGGTCCAGGTCCGGGTCTCAGGCTAATCCCTTTAAGCTTTGATGAGTGAACCCAACTCAGAGCCGTCAGCAGACCTCACTGTGATGCGTTTGTGGGCGGAGCCGGTGTTTCGGGTCCAGGCCGGCTCTGCAGAACCCCCACAGACGGACTCTGGGCCGGTTCTGGAGCCGGTTTCTGTCTGACTTCACCGGTTGGTTCAGGTTAGGCTGCAGTAGGATTTTAATTCCCATTTTCAGATGACGAAAAATTTAAGAAACCATCATGATTTAGGGAGCAGTTTGGAGTAGTTTTCCTCTAACAACATTAAAACATTTCTGCTAACATTTAAACGTTAGAGAGCATTTTGTGTTGCTTATATGTGTCCAACTTATTTTTCTCCTAAATTTAGCAGTGATCTGACAAAAAAACTCTGAAAAAATAAGTAACAGAACTAGGTTTGGACCTGGTGTAATGGGATGTGTCTCAGTAAGAGAAGGGCAGTGAAGTTTCCTGAAAACAACTGATTGGTCCACCAGGGGGCGCTGCTCACCTGTAGTCCTCACTCTTCTTCTTTGGTGACCCAACAGGCCTAAGGGGAGGGGTTCTTTGCCCTCATTGGTCAGAGCTACATCTTTTTACTCTTTTTTCTACCAAAGACAAAAAAAAAAAAAAAAAGACTAAAATAAAAAGATCAAATGTGACAAACGGCCTCCTGAGATCAGGTCCAGATGTGTGAGTGTGATGAAGGTTTTGACCTCCGGGTGGCGCCGTTTGGCCGCTCTGCTTCGGGGGGTGTGAACAAAGAGGCCTGATCTGTGAGCAAACAGGTGATGCGTTCAGGGACCTGCAGGACAAAGAGTGCTCAGAAAACAGCTGGTTTATTCCACACAGACGAGCTCGGCACATCTGGGCTGACGGAGGCTGGCCGGCTCCGTCCCACAATGCATCGGGGCGTCCCCCCCAGGACCAAGAACCTCCCGTTTCCACTCAGAAAAAGAGGAGAGATCACCCAGGTGTGAACAGATGGGAGACAGAGGTGAGGAGAGGGCACCGAGTATGAAAAAGATAGATTTATTTAATGACAAATTAAAACAGACAGAAGTCATGGAGCTGGAAGGAGAGCAGCAACATTACCGAGACTCCACAGGAGGAGGGGGGCGATTGGCCTGACCCCCCCCCCACAGACAAACAAAAGGAAAACAAAGAGCTACCACACGAGAGGACCAACAGATGAAAACGACCCAACTCTGGAAAAACAAAGAAACCTTCAGAGAACGACACGACTTGCTCTTTTTTTTAAACTACAAACACTGAAGTTTAGCCACAAGCTGGACGACTGCCTCGAGTTCTGCTTTAAAAGTCAGTACAAAAAGTTAGACCTCATCTTCTATTTAGTAATAACGACTTTTTAACGGTAGAAACCGTCCCTCGGTCCAGGTCGGGGGGAGGGTGGGGGGGGGGCAGAAAGGGGACGAGCGGTTTGGATCCACATGTTCACACGCTCCCAAACTAAAACCGTTAAGAAACGACGACTGACCAAATAAAACCCAAAACTAACTGAAATGCAGCCTTTTTTTTTCTAGTTCCGACCAGCCAACCGGGCCCACAAGCATCCAGGGCCCCAGATCCAGGGCCCAAGAGCATCCAGACCCCTGGATCCTGGGGTCTAGATCCGAGGCCCTGATGGATCACATGACCCCCGTCTCAGTATAAACTTATTCTTTCCTTTTTTTTAATGGAATCTGGTTCCAGGTTGGAGTCTTTAGCAGCCGCAGTCGTCACCCTGCACGTGTTGGGGAGGGGAGGGGGAGAAGGGGGGAGACGGGGGGTCTGCTCAGAAAAAAGAAGAAGAAGAAGAAGAGCTAGGTAGCTGGCTAGCTTCTGACAGGTGTGTGTCTGTGTGTGTGTGCTGTGTGTGTGTGTAGCTGCTCCCAGCCTCCTCTGAGCTGTAGTGTCTGAAATGTGAGAGCAGGGCGTTGTGGGGGGGGGGGCGGGAGGCTGGGAGCAGCTTCTGAGTCTGTGACCAGCAGGGTGTGTGTGTGTGTGTGTGTGTGTGTGTGTGTCCAGGCCGTGTCCCTGCTTCCTAACGCCTCCAGTCATTCGTCCCCCGCTCGTCTCAGCCCACATCTGTCTCTCAGACAGTCCAGTTCTGAGTCCCAGAGGGGTGAGGCGGGGGGAGGGGGGGCGCCCAGGTCCCCCCCCCGCCCCCGGCGGCGCCCCGGCGGCGCCTCAGCACATGGAGATGGTGACGTTGATGCCCAGGTTTCCGTTCTCGGCGAACAGCTGTGCGATGGAGGTGTCGAACACCAGGCAGTCGCTGTTCATGATGGCGGTGGCGATGCCCTCGTGGATGGAGCGCGGCGTGGCCTCCCAGGTCAGCCGGCGCCGGTGGCCGTTCAGCTCCAGCCGGTAGGCGAAGTTCTCGGCCTGCTTGCGGGTGCCGATGAGCTGCACGATGGCGAAGAACTGCTGGTGGCCGTCGTACTTCTCCTGCTTCTCCAGCACCAGCATGAAGTGGAAGCCGAAGCAGGACTGCATCATCACCCAGTCCACGGCGCCCGGGAGGTTGATGTCGGTGGCCAGGAACACAATGTCCTCCCCCTGCACGCACACACACACACACACACACGCAGGGTTAACACACAGGATTACACACACAGGGTTACAAACCCACACACACACACAGGGTTACACAGGTCCAAGCTGAAGAGTTGACGGAAAGCAGAGAGGGACAAAACTCTGTTCATGTTCACCTGCCGCTCTTCTACTACGGTGGCCCAGAAGGGACAAACCACAACAACATAAAAGCACAACAACATAAAAAGAAGCGACATTAAAACACAACAACATTAAAACATTAATTAAAACACAACATTAAAACAACTTCGTGTTTTAAGGTTATGTTTTAGTCAATGTTGTTGTTCTAAAATGTTGTGTTTTAAAGTTGTATTTTAGTTATTGTTGTGTTTTAATGTCGTTGTGTTTTAGTTAGTGTGGTGTTCTTAAACTTGTAGTCGTGACCAGTGCTGCGTTTGGCCCTCCCGGGCCGCCGTATTTCCCCTCCTGAGGCCCCCTTAATGGGCCTAATGGCAGCTGGTGTCTAAAACCGGCTCCTTTCTGCCTCCTGCTGCCAGCAGGGGGAGCCCCGGAGCACAAACCGCTCCTTTCTGCTACCAGTGAGAGGAGCCTGAGAGGCCGTTTGGCCCCCCGTTTATGGCCCCGTTGGGCCCCCACCTGCAGCGTGGTGATGGACTTGTGCTGGTGCATCAGGTGGGGCATGACGGCGTCCAGCGAGCCCTGCCACTTGCAGGAGGCGCCGGGGCAGGGGCAGGAGTACGGCCGGAACTCGCACAGCTCCTCGTGCTCCGTCTTCTCGGTGTGCGGCAGCGTGACCTCGCAGCCCGAGGAGGCGTACTTGCAGGGGAACAGGACCGAGTTGGCCACCTTCTCCATGGCCAGGTTCCTGATGGAGCCCAGCGGCCCTCTGCAGGTGGGGCAGCAGGTGAGCTTGGGCCGGCAGTTGGAGCACACCTGGACACAGACACAGTGCTCAGAGTAGGCCAGAGCTAAGGGGTATGGTGGTAGTTCAGGGCACGATACAGTTTGGGATAAAAATAAAAAAAACTAAACAGAATTCAGTTTTAAACTAAAAGGCTGATTTGCAGTTTTATAGAAAAAAACAAACAAAAAAATAATAATCTACTGCAATGACCTTTTTACTAAAAGTGATCAGTCTCAGAGTATAAAAAAAAAAAATAAAAACATAGTTTTAACCTAAAAAGTTTGCTTTGCAATTTCATAGAAAACTTAAATAAATACATTTAAAAAACTGGTTAAATTTACTTAAATTATCTTTTTTACTAAAAGGATTAAATCCCAAAGTATAAAAATAAAAAAATAATATTCTTAATATTAAAATGTTACCTTGCAGTTTAATAGAAAAACAACAAAAAAAGGTTAATTTTACTGCAATGACCTTATTTACTAAAGGATTACGTCAAATTATAAAAACAAAAATTAAAAGCCATCAATAATAGTTTCAGCCATGTTTGACATGCCAGGACTCCTGTGTGTGTGTGGATGGGGGCAACTGGACCAGAGGACCTCTGGGTCCAGCACAGACCCAGTGGTCCCGGTCCCCCTGAGGCCGGGTCCAGACGGGGAGCACCTACCAGGTGTCCGGACTGACACTGCAGGATGGGGGGCAGCACATAGTCGAAGCAGACCGGACACTCGAACAGGCTGGCCAGGTCGCTGTTGGAGGCGGTGGTGCCGGACAGGGTGGACACGCGCTGAGAGGGGGGGCACTTGGAGGTTCCTGTGGGCAGCGCGGTGGCGGTCTGGCGACTCATTTCTGGGGAGGAGAGCAAACACACCCAAAAGAAAAGAACCAGTCAGCTGGATGACCTCAGAGTGACAGGCATCCACACTCAGGGTGTGTGGGAGCCCCCCCCACACAAGAGGCTCTGGAGGCTTTGGCTGAGATCAGTTTAGCCAAGCTAACGGAATAAAACCAAAGCTGGGGGAGGCCGTCTGGACCCGGCCACTGGGGCAGAAACTGTCCTCCCAACGCAGCAGCTGCAGCGACTCAGCAGCTATTATTAGCCCGTTAGCACGCTAGCATGCTAGCAGCAGGACCAGGGAGGCTCAGGATGACCAGCTCTGACCACAGCCTCCAGTAAAAACTTTACTAAAAACGCACAAAATTTGCTTTTTGGTGGCCATTTCTGAACAAATATGTTTAAAAACCTGTGCAGGAGGAGGGTTCCTGGTCCTGCGAGGCAGGAAGAGGCTGAAAGAAAAGTCCCAAACTATAATTTACAACAGAGTCCACAAACCAAAGGGAACATTCAGCCACCAAACAGCCTCTAAAACAAGTTTCCCCCCCACAAAAGTCAAATAAAACTACTAATGACTACAACACAGTGACCACAGCCCGAGAATCACAGCTGGTCTTTTCTTAGCCGTTACTGAGGGACAAACATCTGGATCTGTGGATGGATCAGAGGACAAACATCTGGATGTATGGATGGATCAGAGGACAAACATCTGGATCTGTGGATGATCCTCCGCGGGGGGGCCCAGCAGCCTCAGACCTGAGCTCAGAGCTGGACTATTTCCTGACAGATGCTCTCAAAGATAATAATCTTTATAAAGCTCTAATCCACTGGAACCGTTAAGTAGTTACAAATCGTAATAATTTTTATTTAGAACCCCCCTACGGTCACATGACCCCTGCAGATTTTACACAGAAAGAACAGTGTGAGGAAGAAGAGACTCACCTTCGTCCATAAGATTTTCAAATAAGGCTTTCGTCTGCTCTTGAATCGGTGGGACCTCTGAAAAGACAAACAGTGAGACGGTAAATAAAGGGCTCAAAGCCGCATGACCAACGCTCTTCTGGCCTTCAGGCTCCGGCCGGCTGCCGGACAGATGCAGACCCGGCAGCCTGCCGGCTCCAGCTCCGGTCAGGAAGCTTTCAGGGAGCACATAAAGCTGCAGATAGTCCTGAGTCAGGGCCACGCCGGCGCCGGGGAGCCGGCCGGTCGGCTGAGCAGCACTTGGCCACCCCCCCCACCTGCATAAGACGGTTGTTTAGGACCCCCAAAGACGCATCCTGCTGATTTTTTACGCTTTTTTGTGGTTAAAAAAAGTCACAATAATTAACCTAAAATGATCCGAAGCCGCTCGAAACAGCCCCACCGCGTCCACGTGACAGATGTGTCAACCACCCGTCGATCAAACTCCCTTCAGCCCGGTTTCCATGGCAACAAACATCATCCCATAGCAACGAGGAGATGCAGAAAAGATGCAACCTTTGCAGAACTCGGCTTTTCTAACTAAACTGTTTATGCCGGGGTTTAAAATTCATTCTGATCCAGATGTGTCCCCCCACCCTAAAAAAAAACAAAACAAGACAGACCAGCTGTGATGATTCTACAGGATCCAGACTTTGGTACCAACTGCTTTCTGAGTGGGTTCAGGCGGGGGGGGGGGAAAGACTCACATTTCTGACCCAAACTGTCGGAGTCTGCTGGATTCTGAAGGCTAAAAAGGCAAAAACTCGTTTTTTCAAGTTTTTTAAAACTTCTCACCCCCGAAAACAAGGACTACTTAATATCGAAACGTATTCAAAACACAAAGACGGGTCGATACGTTCTGAGCTGATAGTTTCTCTGTTCTGCTTCACAGCAGCTCTGATCCGTTACAAACACCAGCAAAACGCTCCGACGTCTTCCCTGTGGCTCTGAATCTTAGTTGATTTAATCCGTGATCCGAGGAGAGACGGGAATGAGCAGAAACGGCTTCCACTCCTGTGTGGAGCATCAACACAGACACGGCTTCCACCTGCACCGGCCCCCCAGCAGCCAAAGGCGGCTCCAGCCGCTGGAACCGGCTTCCTGTCGGGATATCTGCCACCATCTGTGAACCACAGATCCCATGATGCTTTGCTCCACAATCGTCCCCCGATCACTCCTTAAAAATGCACAATTTATAGGAATAACGGGCAAAAAACTAACCGAAAAAGACTAAACAATCCACTTTGAGCCCGTTCATATCTAACTTCAATCATCTAGGCAGAAACAAGCCACATCTGGAGGTTTTTAAAGGGCCAGCGCGTCTACTTTCCAGCGTGTGCAGACCTGCCCGACGACACACAAACAATGAGTCCCCCCCACAGCACTTCACATGGACGTAAAGAAGGAAACATGCAGGACAGAGAGGCCCACATGTGTGGCCTGAAAGCCCAGCGCTCACAGCTGCACACATCTGGGGGGAGAGGAGGGAGAGAGGGAAGACAAAAAGAAGGAGACGGGGACTCAACAGACATGCTATTCTTTGCCCAGCTCACAGTGCAGCTTTATGCCCCCCCCCCCACACAGGCAGCGGGGCGCTGTCTGCCGGCCCCCGCTCCCCGAAAACAAAGTCGGAATTCATCAGCCAGAGCAGGAAATTAGCAGACTGTAGTCCAGCTGCAGAAAGTGGACGGGGGGGGGGGGCCTCCTCCACATTCACCTCTGGCTGGGGGGGCTCTCCTCGCCGCGAGGCGGGAGAAGAGTGTGAACAGGGCGTTCCAGGGCGGCGGCGGGGGGGAAACGCACGCCGGCCGGGCTTTCTCCGGGAGCTCGGACGTGGAGGAGGAGGAGGAGCAGACCTGGCGCAGCCCCTCGCCACATTTCTCCGGCCTTCTCCAGGGAAACGGCACCACAAAACACGGGATCATGTGTCTGCCCGCTGGCCCCCCGTTCGGGGAGCATGAGCTCATGGGGGCCGCGTCCACACGGGGCCGGCCGATCCTCGGCAGCAGGAACAGGAAGAAAAGCTGACCGCAGGGCTGGAGGCAGCGTCCAAAAGGGGCTAAACCTGAGCCGTGGAGGGTCCTGCAGGAACAGGAAGCGGCTGGGAGCAGAGAGAACTCCTCCAGAAGAGTTTCCTGTGAGTGCTCAGCCTTCCTCTCCCTCTCTCTCTGTCAGTCTGCCAGCGGAGTCGTTCCACCTCCAGCGGAGGCTAATTAGCCCTCCGGCGCCCGGCGGGACGGCCGCCATCCTCACAGAGGGGGGAGGATGTGGTGGGAAAACAAAGCCCCCCCCCATCCCCGGGTGTCCAGAAAGGAAAAGGGAGGGAAGGAAGGAAAGTTTCTCCCCTCCGTTCGGCTCCTCGTGCTTTGTGTCCCCCACAGATACGCTAAGCTGAGGCAGCTCCAATGTCAGCGGGAACTGAGCATGCTCAGAGCTGCTTAAACCCCCCCCACCACACACACACAAACACACACCCCAAATGGACAAACAAAACATGTTTCCTTATGGATTCTGTGGTGGGAACTACCTCCAGCATTGTACTCAAAAACTTGAGGTCTTTAATTCTTATTGTGCTGACAGACATTAAAACATTTAGTATTTCCAGAAACTATAGTCCCATCAGTTTCTTTCTTGCAGGTAGTTTTAAACCCACAATAATGAAGGAATTACACAAATGATGGCTACTTCTCTCCTTCACTAAAGCAGACAGAGACTCGACTTAGGATACGCTAAAAAAGTTCTTTTTTACTGGTTTAGGGACCCCTAAACTCATTATTTCAGAGGTTTTATCTGCATTTCCTCTCCATGATCGGCTGCCGTGTTTGGTCTGCATGAAGCCTGAACACCCCCCACCCCCCCCTCCCTCCTGCGGCTCCGGGCTGAGCAGCTCTCAGGTTTCAGGCTGCACCACCGGCTGCCCTCGCTGACACCACGCTCGCTGGGGGCTGCTCTCTCCTAAGCCTGAGCAGCTCTGAGGGGTCCTGTCCACGCCTGTCCACGCCACGGCCGCCGCGTGGTCAGCCCAGCACTGTCGTGCTTTATTCCCAGGACAGAGTCCGGCTCTTCACGGGGAGAGCAACTCTGTAGCTGCTTTAACGCATCCAAACAGGGAGGAAAGGCCTCCCCAAACAGAGAGGCCACAGCTAATGCCCATATGTCAGCACCTCTGAGGGGGTTCTGAGGTTATGGGATCAGGATTTATTAGAGCAGAGCAACGGGGGACACCAAAGTGAAAGCCAGCCCCAGTTTCTGACACAACAGCTGCTGATAAACACCCCACTTTGTATTCTCAAAGACCGACTGACATCTCCTTTACAAGACTGAAACGACCTGAGTGATGTGTTCACAGAGTTCTGACAAAGCACGTTTTGAGCCTCTCAGCTTTAAACTCTGAGCTCAAACGCTGGACGTGGTTAAACTACACCTGCTCGCATTCTGAGCCCGCGCTATAAACAAAGCTGTCCATCAGCGAGGGGACAAAGACGCCCCACTGTGACACACATGCCAACTGGGAGCCATAAACCAGCACCAGCGGGTCCAGCCCAGTGCCCAGAGTGTGTTATTAGAGGGGCAGCGCGGCAACAATGAGCCATCTGGACCCGGCAGCACTTCATCACGCGGGCCCCGAACACCTCGTCCCCCTCCAGCCAGAGGTTCCCAAACTCAGACGTTTCCGTCCTAAACCCGCTTCGGCCGAGCAGCTGCCGGAGCTCCGTTCCACCACTTAAGCCTCAATGCGCTGGAATGAAAGAAGCAGGAAGAGCGGCAAGCGGCAGCTTAAAGAGGAGGGAAAAAAAAAAAGGCCATGGCTGACAGGGTGGGGTTGTGTAAAGCACGAGCTCACATTTCCATATGAAACAACGCCTGCTGTCTTCTTCTTTTACAGCCTGCGCTGTGAAGCCGGCAGCCGACAGAAGGCCAACAAAGGCTTTCATCACATCAGGCCGTCGCCTCAAAGTGAAACATCACAGCACGTCTCAGAGGTGGATGTTAGATGGAGCCCTGCTCCTTCTCCTTTGTTTCACAGAGTAAATCCTGAGAGTATTGCAAAGGTAAATACTTCTGACATTTCCATAGACTCCATTAGAGCTTCCCTTTGCAGCTGCCAGCTGCTGTGCTGCACATTTGGAGCCGGCCTGTTGTATCACTAAAGCGATGAAAAGGTTCACAGCGAAAAATCCCTCCAGTTCCCAGCAGCGTGCTCTGCTCCGTGTTTCAGAGGGACCGTGTTTACCGTCGCGCACACGCTGCGTTCGGAGCCGACGGGCTTTGATTGAGGAATCCAGACAAAATCTGAGACAGAATGTTTAAAGTTTGGGAGCTTTTCAAAGCAAAGGTGGCAGAAAATGCTGCGCGGTGCATCCATAAAAGGAGAACCAGCCCCCCGTGATGGTGTCCACGCCACACAGTCTGAGCAGGAAGCAGCCGGCTCACAGAACCACCCGGGGAGCATCTCAGGGAGCCGGTTGAAGCCTTCTGACGGCGTACCCATAATGCATCTGTCCCCCTGCCCGGGCTGCAGTGGGACGTGTTCAGATGGAGGCGACAGGTAGCGGAGCAGCAGACACGCTCGCTGTGCTGAAGGCTCCCAGCACAGACGGCCATCCTCTGGCTCCCCGTCCTCCACAGGCCGTTGCCATGGAGACGCCATCCCGAGCAGGGACATCGGGGCAGAGGCCGACCCGTCCGCAGCCACGGCCGGGACTGCCTCCGGCTTTGAAACGGAGCTGATGGAGGGAAAGCCCCATCGTTTCTGCCCCAGGCGTCAAAGGATCCACTCACATCATGGACAAGGGGACCCAGATCTGGAGGGATGGACCCTGATCCGACGGGCTGGAACCAGACATCCATCTGAGCCGTGGCCTTCCTGACCGCAGTTCCCCTGTGAGGCCTGAAGAGGCTCCACATCTCAGCTGGACCACAGTCCGGCTCCTGGTGGTTTAAAGCCGTTGGCTCCCCTGGTCTCCCAGAATGAGGCTTGGAAACATGGCAGTCCAGCTCCTGAGAGCCTGGATC